AGAAAATACAGATTTTTGAGAATCACCCTTCAATCTTTTGGTTTACTTTGCTGAATATAGCAAATTATGACAAAATAAACATTTGAAACAAGATATATTTTCATAGTTGAATCTGAAATCTTAGAATCTATCCGATATTTGAATGATAGTCGAATCATATGTTTGGGGGTAGGGGCAAAATACATTAACATGAGTGGTTATGAACGAATGAAAGAAATGCATTTGTCCGTGTTTCAAAATTTTTACATTTTATAAAATTATTGTGAACTCATCATTTTTGTAGAGTAACTTTTGCTGCTGAATTATCCACTAACCTAGTTTATAATAGTATTTTTCTCAAAGATTATGATTATATATATTTTTATTTGTTATTTGTCTTTATAATGAAGTTGTCTATATTTAGTAGATTGTGTATAGCTCAAAAGAGTGATGATCAGGTCAACACACAATGAGGTATAGAAATAAATAAAAAAAACTGTGCTGGTATCGGATCGGTATCGGTATTGTCCGATACTCAGAACTTTTGGTATCAAATCGGGATCGGTTCTGAAAAAACATGACACACACAGCAAAGCAGCCAATCAAATCAAGGCACGTGAGGGGAATAGGGAATCACATGACTATAGCAAATTTCAAATAAAAGACATGAAAACATGAACTCTGAAAACAAACATGGCAGCACTCCAGATTTGTGGAATTTTTAGGACACGTTTTTGGATACTTGAATCCTTAAGTTAGCTTTAAAGGAGGAGGGTTAAAACAGCAATAACTGCATTACCAGCTTCACTCATTACTAACCAAACTGACTTTATTTCTGACATACAAAAGTTCTTATTGAGAATTAACAGAGGTTTAGATGTTGATGTTTGGTTGAAAGTAGTAGTTTGGTTTGAAGTGTTGACTTTAAGCTAAAATATGCATGTTATATATAATTAATACGCATCTGAACGTTCATCTTCTGTAGCTCCAGATTCAACACTGATTCCAGTCCACAGCTCAAACTCTGAGAAGAAATCAAGCTGAACTACAGCAGCAGCTCCTACACAAGGTTCATGATCGCTGACACACATCAGCAGCCTCTCACTTCACTGCTTTACACTGACTCTCACACACTGCTCTCATCATCATGAATGTCATCTGCAGAAAGTAGCTCTTTAATCAGATTTGTCAGTGAGTCTGTCATTTTGATGCAGATGAGTCATGTAAATATATAAATACATAACTCTCAAAATAATCATAGCATCCTATGGTAAATGTGCAGTGAACAAACTTCAGCTGAGAAAACCTGAAGCAGAACATCTGCTTTCGTTAAATAGCCCACATGCACTCTGAGAGGACTGCAGCTGCGCTCACACCTGGATTTACTGATCATCAAGGTATGTATTCATGTCTTTCTTATTTCAGTGGTGTACAGTGACGATTACAGAGCAAGAGCTTCTCAAACATTATTGAATTTGTCTCAGTCGTTCACTTCCCCAAACAAACAGGCTAATGTAAATATAATCTTTCATTATATGTTAATGATAGAATTGAGGCTTTGAGCTTACATGTTTAAAATCATATAGTGAGCATTTATTAAACATGCAAGTCATTCCATGAGAGTGTGAACCGCTTTCAGCAGCATAACCGAGTTACACTGAGACGGAGCTGTTCTGCACTACAGCAGTTATAATAAATCACTCTCAGTTTGTAAAAGAAATGATTAGATGCATTAAAGTATGATTGTTCTATTTCTATTTTGCTTTAATAGTTATAATGCCAACTACAGAAAATGTGTACTTTTGAAAAACAGGACACAGATTTGTGATTTAATGCATGGTGATGAACAAACAGCATCTAGTCAGGAAGCTGATTTACATTCATGTCTTTCCAGTGCTCTGGCTGTTTCTCCTCTTTTTCATTTATTTTTTCCACTCCTGATATGTAGTTGAGCTTCCTGATGATGAAAAACCCTTTGAGCTTCATCTATCTCCTCAGTTTCACTCTCCTTTCCGTCTCGGGACACAAGAGGGCATCTTATAACTGTCTAACTGAGCCGTAACAGCTGCCTGAATCTTACAGCTTTTAGTTGCTTTGCTGGCGGTTCAGAGACCTAAACAACCATTTATATCTAGAAACAGCCTCGATGGAAACACCTCTCTTCACAATAACTGCCACTGCAAACTGATGATGGAACACAAACTGCATGTCGTGTAATGATGAAGTATGAACATATGATGTAATAGTCCTGCAGTATTATGATGCAGCTTCAGATTCAACACTGATTCCAAACTACAAGCCAAATCAAGCCAAACTACAGCAGCAGCTCCTACACAAGCTTCAACATCTCTCTCACACATCAGCAGTCTTTCTCACTTCACTGTTTAACACTTCTTGCCACAACTGATCCGACCACAAGAAGATCAGCCTGCTAATTCCATGAGTTCAGTGCTGAAACCGCAAAGGATTCGTAAATATTTGTGCATGTGAAATGTTTTCATACAAGGCTGTATATTTCAGATGCTGTCAGTACAAAGATATTGTACATTTCAGTGTTTATGCAAACTTTGAAGCACACTTTACATATGCATATGTGTGAATAATAATGAGATCACATTGGACAGAAATATTTATTTTTGGTAAACGACAATCATCGTTTTTCTCCTGACCCTTTGAGATTGAAATAACATGACAATCGATGATGGACTCATGAAGCAGTGGAAGTTCATTTATCATTTCTGTGATGTATATGTGTTTATATGTTCATTATGTTTGAACGGAACTAACAGACATGATCACAGATCCAGCAGAAACTGAAGTCAGGATAACTTTTGCTGAGACATTTCTTACAAATCAAGTCTGTTTGAGTATAAAGATATTTTCTCACACTTTTAATACAATATAAGACTACAGTAAACACTATACAGGCAAAGTCTGACTCTCATCTAATTCTGGCCAAGGCCCGCCCATCCAGACACAAAGGACCAATGGGAGCAACATTCAATGAGCAGCCACTATATATATATATATATTCAACTCTGTGCTGTCTGAACGTGAGAATATAGTAACACTGTAACTGTGACACTGAAACACAAACAGACTCGTGAAAATATTCTTCCAGAAGTTTGTTTGTGTTGATTCATTTCTTTGGGCTCTTGAAAGCAGATTCCCCTTCAGTCATCGATCTAATTACTAATAATTTTACTGCTTTGAGCCCTAAGAAGCCCTCAGATATTTAGTTACAGAAAGAAGAGGAAGTGACATCAGAATGATTCAGATTCACACCAATCAGGCTAAACTGGGCTCAGAGATGAGCTCGGCTCTACTGCGGTCAAACTGAGTTCTGAGTAACATGAGTAACGTGTTTCCAAACCACAACAGTGAGATCACAGCTCTGAAACACTGCAGCTGCTGTAATTAACACACTATTTTAGTTATGAGAGTGTAGAATGGCTGCTCTGAATAGACATCACCGTAAAACTTCATATGGAATATGATGATTCCAAAATCACTATTATCATAATCATTTGCAGAAACACAGCAAATAAATGACCTTCATATGCTCACTCATGGAAGTGTGGAGACAGTAGTGAGCGCTTTGTTGTGAGAGTCTTGAGTATTGTGAGAAGTTTGTCTGATGTTGCTGTTCTGGACTCTTAAAGACATCACTGAGTGGCATGTTTGTCTTTATGCTCATAATGACAAGCCAAAGCATTTATAAAATATAGCCTTTTACGACCATTTCCAAAGTAGCCGTCTTGTAAAGCATCTCTGAAGATATAAACAGCTCAGTCTGTGTCACAGCACACAAATCCAGCTCACCGTGAATCATCAGCCGTCAGAGACTCGTGCTGCTGTGAAATCCACCAGCCGAAGGGAGAATGTGCTGGAGTTTGTGGTGTTAATAAAGGACTCTGGATCTGATGTGTTTTCTCAGCGCTGGAGAGAGAAAAGCAGCATGTTATGATCCATGAGCAGAAACACTTTACAGACGCTTGTGTAGTGTGTGCAAAGACTCTTTTTTCAGCAAGCAGGAATTGATGTTAATAATTTCAAAACACTTTAAAAACTGTTTTAGAATTAATTTCCTACAAGAGAGTCATGTATAGTGGAAAATAATAATGTAATGATTTTATTTCTAGAATGTAATGGCATGCAGGAAACTGCTAAACTAACAGTAAAGTAAAGAATAGCCTATAGATTGTGTTCAGAGCAAATGTGGTTAACACTATGCAGTTCACACACTGAAGAACATGTTTCACACAATGTGAAGAAACACTTCTCCTTTATGACTGGCATCGGGTCACTATTATAGCAACTTTAGCATGATTTAAACACTCAGTCGGTCAGATTAGAGGAAGTGAAGAAACACAGGAGGAGCTGATAGTATTTAAAGAAAGAGTTGAGATCATATAATGAAGAGGAAGACTGAGAGATAGAGAAAATGTCTGATGAGTGTCATCTGTGTCTGCTGGGACTGATCGTTCTCTCTTCACTTCTCACAGGTAAAGAAATCTGTGTTTTCTCTACAAGACATTCAGTGGAATTAGTCTGAGAAAGAGTTCATTTGAACACGATCAGTTTATGCTTGTGTTTCACACAGAACATACTGGATTATTCCTGAACGCACTAAAACTAGACAGTTCATATTGAGAGTGTGTTTGTGATTCGAACAGCTCTCTGATGAAGAACAATAGTTTATTCTGGAGAGTGTGCTGTTTGCATTAATTGAGGAAAAAAGACTGATTTGAATCTTCTGCTTTTTATGTTGGTATGTTTTATGTTTGCATTTATTAATATATAGTATAATGATCCGTCAAATGTTCTTGTGTTTCAGGTTCCAGTGGAGTGGATGATGCTCATGTGTTCATCAGTTCTGGTGAAGATGTCCATCTGTCCTGTAATAATGCTCTTCCAGACTGTAACTCAACTACATGGAACTATAACAGATTCAGACATTCAGCAACAGATGAACTGATTGCTTTAGGGAAAAAGAAGAACAACACAGAGAGACATGAGAGACTGAGTCTGGGGTCTGACTGCTCTCTGAACATCAGGCACATCTCAAAAGAAGATTATGGACCTTACAGCTGCCAACAATGGACTGGTGTGAATAGAGACCAACAACAAGAACCTGATGCTCGTGTTTATCTGCATGTCCTTCATGGTAATTCTATGATTATGTGGTCAATTTAAAAGAGCAAATTCTTCATCTAAACTCCCATGATGATTGAAGAGTCTGTAATTTGTGTGTTATTTTGTGTTTCAGTCTCATCCTCACAGACTGAGATCAGTGCAGGCCGCTCTGTGACTCTCTTCTGTCAGTTGTATTCATATCCTCGAGTCTCTTGTGATGATTGGATCTGTTCTGAGAGAATTGAGCTGTTCTGGGTGAATCAGACTGGTGTTAAACTGACGAGATCAGACTCCAGATATCAGATATCAGCTCCAGGACACTGTATCAGCTCTCTGAATACAACACTCCTGAATGAAGATCACAACAGAGAGTGGAGATGCAATGTTACTCAGAGAGATCAAGTCAAGACCTCAGTCACTTATACTGTCAAGAGTTCAGGTGAGAAAACAAGCTCATCAATCAGTTTCAGACCCTCATAATGTCAGTAACATTAAGGACTGTTAGTATTATTGAAGCAGAACAAACGGAGGAACAAAAGCTTCTTTCAGTTTGACAGACGAGAAACTCAAAGGTACAAACGGTCCACATTATATTTGCACTATACCGTATTTTCCAGAAAATAAATCGCAACATATCAAACTTGTGTTGTTTATAGAAAAAACAATCAAACAACAACCAAAACAGATAAGTCTCATCGGTGTAGAAGCCACATTTTATTATTACATTCAGAGGAAATTTAAAATAGGCCTACCAGTAAATAAAATGAAACGTTAACAAACATTATAAACTTGTATTTTACTTCCTCTCATTCCAAATCCTTTAAATTTAATGGTATTCAATACAGAACTAAAATGGGAAAATATATGTATAAATGAAAAAAATAAAATACATAGGCAAATATATTGTGCCATTTATTACAAACTTTTAATTTTTTTTACAAACTTCATTCATTTAAACTTGTTTTAATTTATTTTAAATGCCAAGCCAATACAAAACTTATTTAAAGCCAAACTGAAACTGCTCTCTCCTCTCACTCGGCGTGAAGTCGTGAAGTTTGATTGTTAAACTATTATTTATTATACAGGATTTGTAGAGGAGCGCGGGGCACAGAGTAACGCGGGGTTAGTTGTAACACACGTGGTTTGAATATTTCCACACATGCTAGCATAACAACATTTACGGTATTTACTAGTTGCCATATCAACACTTTATAGAGAAAAAAAGTGCACAGAAATTCAAAAATCTTTTGAAGATATCGCTGAACATTTATTTTACCATAGTAAAAGTACATTTCTGGCTTAAGTAAAATTGTCATCTTAGTTTTTAGTATTCATTTAAAATGAGGCAAATTATTAGTGCTATTATTTTAATCTCCAATCTGTTATTTATCAGTTCAGATAGTTTTTTAATGCTTCGCTAACTAGCAGAAGACAGTAACCGGTTTTAAACTCCAGTTGCGCAGATGGGGCTCGTTGTAACACTGCGTTACAATGTGCTATTCTATGACATTAGCGATGTAATTTACACTATTTACTTTAATTAATTTTAATGAGAAACAACGAGAAACAGGTGAATAAAGACTGACAGTCAATGTTTAAT